CGAGACCCCGTCTCTACTATAAATAGAAAGAAATTAATTGGCCAACTAATATATATACAAAAAATTAGCTGGGCATGGTGGCGAATGCCTGTAGTCCCAGCTACTTGGGAGGCTGAGGCAGGAGGATTGCTTGAGCCAGGAGTTTGAGGTTGCTGTGAGCTAGGCTGACGCCACAGCACTCACTCTAGCCTGGGCAACAAAGTGAGACTCTGTCTAAAAAAAAAAAAAAAAAAAAAAAAAACCTGAAACAAACGTTCACGATTTGATATAATCAAAAATCCAAATTTTACAATAAGAATTTATATACCAAAAAGATAAAAAAAGATGTGCAGATTGCTTTTGTGCCCCTGCCACATAGACTGTGAATTTACTTTCGAATCGGCAGAAATACAATTGACAAATCTTCGTGGCTTTAATCCCTACTGGAGCACAAACTACCTTTAGATCTGGGCATACACTGACTTTAAACTAGGTACCCCTTCTTAGAGAAGTTATTGAATACAAAATGGAAAACAAACAGGTATACCTCACCTTAGTTATCAGAACTACTGACTTGCCTAACTTCCTGGTGATCATAGCATCTCCTAAAATATACCACAGCAGGCACGGACAGCCTGACTCAATAAATAATAGATTAAAACTAAGTTAAGTCCTTGGCACTTACAAATTAGCTTGACAAAATGGTTCCCCGTGGACCTCATCTGACCCCTTTAAAATAGTTAGTGTACCCCAAGGTAAACTAAAATAGCACCTTGAAGGAATGAAACCCACTAAACAGGATCTATATAGAGAAGGGGTGATTATATCTACTGTTTTGACCTCAACAATCTAGTCTGGCCTATTTTTAAACTTGGGAAGAATGAACAGTGAGTGCCTCACAGTGGACTGCCACAACCTTAATGCCTTGGTCACACCCATTAGGGCCCCAATATCATTGAATATTGATGTTTATATTGATACCCAATATCACTGAAATTACAGACTTATCCAGTCAGCAACTGGTAAATATTGTTTTCTTATGGATTTGGCTAATAATGCTCTGTTGAGTCCCCATTTCAACAGCCTCTCGGTCCCAGCCTGCTTCACCTCCGAAGGGATGTCCCATGCCTCTCCCGGGTACTCATGGAGTACAACAGCGCTGCCGTTGCACAGTCTTTGCAGAGAAGATCTAAATGCACCCGACTTCCTCCAGCAGCACAGATGTGATTTACACTGAGGAATCCTCCAAAGGGATTGATGTGACTGCTCAGGACATACAAATACTCACAAAGGAGCTTGCAGAAAGAGGGTGTGCCATTGTCCTACTCATAGAGCAAGGTCCTGCCTCCTCAGCTGACTTCCTGAAATGATTTGGTAAACCATCCCTGACACGGTCAAGAAACAGCAACTAAAAAAAAAAAAGAAAGAAACAGCAACTAACCCTGTCAGCACCCACAATGGTAGAATAGGCCCAACATCTTTTAGGCCTATTGGGTTCTGAAAGAAATATATGCTTCGTTTACAAATTTTACTTAAGCCCACTTATGCTGTTACTTGCAAATCGGGCCATCTTGAATGGGCCCGCCTTCAACAAAAGGCTCTAACATCCACTCCAAGTGCAGTAGGACGGACACTCCCATCAGCGCCCTCCACAGGCTCCTTCGCTGCAGAGGTTTTACCAGCCCCTCTCATGCTTCTTGGAGAGTCCAGACCACCCGTGATGGCCACTCTCCCTTCAAGGTTATCCCATCTCCCTGTAAATCATCAAAGGAACCAACCACATCTGAATAGATCCACCCTCATGAGGTCTCTAGGCTGGTTGTAGATCTGGAAAAACAATTCTGCACAACAGCTTATATTATAAAAGCATTTTATTGAACACACTCTGGAGAAAGTCAGAACCAGAACAAAATTTGGGGTTGGGGTGGGGATTCTGTTTTGATGGTTTAGATACTAGAAAACTTTGGATTCTTGTTTCATCTCATGGAGGACATGGGGACCTAAAGGCTGGTTTGAAGCACAAGATAGAATTGTGACATAGGAGACAAGAGACTGGGAATGAGGCCTTCCCAGAAACCAAAGATTGTGGTTCTGCAATGGGCTCGGTCTAGACTAGTCTCCAGAAAAAGGGAAAACTTGGCTGGGCAACTGCCTAGAAGAGGCAGTCTCCATGGGCCGGGTTGCTGCACTTGGGAGGCGGTGTCTTGCAGCAGGCTTTTAGCTCTTGAAGCTCTTCCGGGAGGAGGAGGTGGTGGAGACAAACTTGACGCTGGAGCTGCTGCCTCCGCCGCTGCCAAAGCCCACCCCCACTCGGCCACTGCCTGCACTGAAGCCGGAGCCCCCAACACTGAGCCCACCGCCCATGCCCCCACTGCTGCTGGAGTAGTAGCTCCCACCGCCACCTCCGCCGAGACTTCCGCCGAGTCCTCCGCCGAGGCCTCCACCAAAGCCACCACCGTAGCCACCGCCGCTGCCATAGCCACCGCCGCTGCCGTAGCCAGAGGAGACGCTGCTTGTGACGACAGCTGCAGGGGAAAGAGGGAGAACTCAGTGACTCCAGTGCGTCAGGTTGATCCTGCACAGCCAGCTTGTTTGAACCTGCTGGTGTTGGAGGACTATACCTGTCCCCTTTTACAGAGTAGCAAACAAGCCCCGGAAGAACAAAGTCATTTAGTTAAGGTCCTTAAAAATGTTGGCAAACATAAGGGGCAAGGCATAGTGCTAGGTGCTGGGGGCAGGGGAGGGAAAGGCGGGGTCAAGGTCCAAGGTGTGTGGGATGCGCGGCCACACTGTCTTATCCAAGAGGTAAGACATGAGCCATCTGGACGGTGCTTCCCATCCTAATCCGTGTCCTTTCCCTCCACACCTGCTTCTCACTAAGTGTATTAAATAACCGGTTATATGCTGGGATGGGGATCTCTGGTATCTCGAAACAGCAGGGTTCTGAGCTGGCACCAAACAGCCCCCATTATCGTCCTTGTTAATGTCTGTTCAAAGTTACTTACAGATGTTGACTGGTCCAACTCCTTCTCCGCTCAGTCTGAAAGGGGAAAAATTAAAATTAAATTATGACTCCCATAGTTGTGATTAGAGCTCATTTCATAAGCCAAGAGTCTGCATGCCCACTTAACTGCTTAAATTAGAGGAAGAGGGAGTTTCTGGAGGGACTTTCCAATGAAGAGAGATTGACCTAGAAGCAGGTTGTCAAAGGAAGATTATAATTCCCATTATGCTCCACCCAGAGCATGGAAGGCATGAGTAAGAGGTTGCGGGAAATATGAATATGTATAAAGCAGTCTTTGCCTTGGGGGAGCTTACATTCTGTGAGAGAACTTGGCATGGACAGAAATGAATGCCTTAGACAGAAAGGAGGCAATGAGCAGTGGCAGAAGATTGAAGAAGATGGAGTATTTTGAGAATCCAAAGACAGGTGAGTTGAACTCTGCTGGAGCAATCATGAAAGGCTTCCTGAAGGAGGAGGTCCTTGAAGAGTAGGGAGGGCAAGGGTGGACATGGGTGTGGCACGGACATTGAGGTTGAGAAAAGAGCATGCTCAAAAGCAGAAAGGGGGCACGTTCGAGACATGTTTGTTGAGTTGCATAGTTTTTTGGAGCAGAGGCGGAACCCAGGAACACTAGTGGGGCAAAAGTCCAGAAAAGAAGGTTGAGGCCAGCTAGATGCCCACGTGTCAGTTTGAAATCAGACTGATGACGTGTCATTATCACACACCAGACAGCGATCCCTTGTATGTGTGCCATGCGCTCTGCAGTGCAGAAGCTTTGCTTTATCAAATGAGAGGCTGGGCGCCTCCGTCTGCCCACCTGCACTCCTCGCCCTCCAGCAGCTTGCGATAGGTGGCAATCTCCACATCCAGGGACAGTTTGGTGTTCATCAGCTCCTGGTACTCGCGCAGCAGCCGCGCCATGTCCTGCTTGGCCTTCTGCAAGGCGTCCTCCAGCTCGGCCAGCTTGTTCCTGGCATCCTTGAGCGCCAGCTCCCCACGCTGCTCTGCATCAGCGATGGCGTTCTGCAGGTTGGCGCACTGCAGAGGGGAAGGAGAGAAGAGTGGGGACACTGGGCACTGGTAGCTGAGCAGGGCCTGAGGTATCTCTTTCTGAGATTATGGGTCAGGAAAACAAAACTATCTAGAGAGAACCCAGTGCATCTGTCCTGGTCATTGTGGGTCTCCCTTTCAGAGCTCAAGCCTCTCTTGCTGCCTTTCAACCTTGCCCTACCTGCTTCTTGACGTTGTCTATCTCAGATCTCAGTCTCTGGATCATGCGGTTCATCTCAGAGATCTCATGCTTGGTGTTGCGGAGGTCATCGCCGTGCCGGCCAGCTGTCTGCTGCAGCTCCTCGTACTGATGGCACCAGAAAAGAGAAAAGGTTCTGTTTGCATGAGGATGAAAAGCACCTTCCCAAAGTTTGCAGCCAAGTGGTGGCAAGTGGTGTAGGTATGTAGGGTCTGGGCTGGTTCAGGCTCTCCTAGAGATACTGCTGTGAGATTCAGAGTGAGCTTCTTTTTTCAAGTTCTTGATATTTTTGGAAAATGCATGCAGGGCCGTTCCCAGAACTCATCCCAACAGGCCTCAGCAGGTTTCAGGAACCCCAGCCTTAGTGTCGCCATGGCCTGCAAACCCAGACACGTGTCCGTCCCCTCACTCAGGAGACAGCCACCAGAGCACCCACCTTGGTCTGGTACCAGGTCTCGGCCTCGGTCCGGCTGCGGTTGGCAATCTCCTCGTACTGGGCCTTGACCTCGGCGATGATGCTGTCCAGGTCCAGGTTGCGGTTGTTGTCCATGGACAGCACCACGGATGTGTCTGAGACATGCGTTTGCATCTGGGACAGCTCCTGCAGGGAGATTTGAAGTCGGTCATCCGATTCTGTGTTATTCAACGCCAGTTTCATTCAAATCTTCCACCCATTGTGGTACATCAACTTGAGAAAAAAATAACAACCACCTACTTGAAATACTGAGGTAAATTTCTTACCGCATCAAAGAACATCTTCATGAAGTTGATCTCGTCCATCAGTGCATCGACCTTGGCCTCCAGCTCCACCTTGTTCATGTAGGCAGCGTCCACATCCTAGGGAAACAGGGAGGTTGGCACACACGCTTCCACCCTGCCCTGAGTGAGCTCCGCTCCTGGGAGGGCACGTACAGGTTCCCTCCTACCCACACCCACCTTCTTAAGCATCACAAACTCATTCTCGGCAGTGGTACGCTTGTTGATTTCATCTTCATACCTGGTGGTAAAAGGGAAGTGTTTGTCAGAGGATGGGGAGTGGATGAGGGGGCTTTGTTACACAAAGTCAAGTGTGAGCCTGCTTTCCCTGTGGGAAGGGGATTCTCATATCTCCTAGGCAGAGAGGGAGGGGACACTGGCAGCTGAGCCTTTGGTCAAGGTCCTTACCCATCAGGATACTGCTTTCTCTGTAACTGCCTATCAGAGAACCATTCTATTATTGCTATAATTCAGTTGCTTTGAGAATATTCCTCTAGAAAAGCTGTGTACTGTTTCTCTCCAGCTCCACAGCTAATCAATTTCTCTAGTGCTTTTCTCAGCTTTCACGGCCTTTTTTTAAAAAAAGAAACAAAACAAAAAACTAGCAGCCCAGTGGCTAGTTCATAAGAGTAAAGAAATTATTTGAGCCACCAAGCTGGGTTATGTCATCAATTCCTGCTTTGAGGCAAATGCACCCAAAGGCCCGTGCTGTGTACTTTGAGTCTACTGGGGAGGAAAGCCCCGGAGAGCAAGAGTTGCATGACTGCACGTTGCACCACGTAGTGCCAAGGGTGCAGGGCTTGTTGCTCTGGCTATTGGCTAAGTGCCTTGCAGAAGGGCTGAGCCTAGGGCTAGAACTTTCTAAACATGGACCTGTTGTTTTTGTTTTAGTATTATAGGTGTCCATAGAAGGTATGTGCTTCTAGCCCATAGGGAAGTCATAAATAAAAGGCTGGTTATGGTTGTGACACCCCTCTGGTGCCAAGAAGCTATCAACCCCCCACCCCTGTCTCCAACCCCAACTCACTTGTTCTTGAAGTCCTCCACCAGGTCCTGCATGTTCCTCAGCTCCGAGTCCAGGCGGCCTCTCTCCCCGAGGATGCTGTCCAGCTGCCTCCTGAGGTTGTTGATGTACTGCTCGAACAAAGGCTCCAGGTTCTGCCTCACGGTCTTGGTGCCCTGCTCCTGGAGCAGGGTCCACTTGGTGTCCAGGACCTTGTTCTGCTGCTCTAGGAAGCGCACCTGGAGAGGAGCAGAGTTTGAAGGGGAAGAAACTTGGATTTCATGTTTCAATGATCAACTCACTAACGGGCCTCCCATCTCCTGCTGTCCCCCAAAACCTTTCCCATGTGCAGTACCTGGCCCAGTGCCCAGGAGGGGAGGTCCAGAGTGAGGCACCCAACCTCATTCTTCTAGGGGACACAGGACACTTATCCAGGGCACATAGAGCATTAGGGATGGCTTTCTGGAGTGTGGCTCAGGGCAGTGGTGGCTGCAAAGGCACTCAGGCTGCTGCCAATGCACCCGTCTGCCTCCCTGTGCAATCAGCCCCGTTACACGAGGCAGGGATTCATCCCTCTGCCCAGAAGTAGTCAAGGAGCCCTTATGGGGTGATCTCTGGCTGGGAAGAAATAGGACTGTCCCCTCCAAGCTGCCCATGTAACTAAGAAAGTGCCCACAAATCCAGGACACAGAAACAAATGGAAACACATAACTGCAAACTATGAAGCTATTTTCCCAAAGCCAAAATGTCTTTCCTCTCCCCTCTGTCTTTGGCATTTGTTCCAGACTCACAGTGATCTTTGTTGTTGTTGTTACAAAGGATCATGTCTCACCTTGTCGATGAAGGAGGCGAACTTGTTGTTGAGGGTCTTGATCTGCTCGCGCTCCTCAGTCTTCACCCGCTGGATGGTGGGGTCGATTTGCAGGTTGAGGGGAGTCAGGAGACTCTGGTTGATGGTGACCTCTTGGATGCCTCCAGGGGGGCAGACTGGGAAGCCAGCGCCACCAAAGCCACCTCCAAAGCCAGCTCCACCACCGAGCCCAAAGCCACCACCAGCTCCACCGCCAAAACCGAATCCACTGCCGGCTCCACCTCCAAAGCCATAGCCACCTCCAGCACCGGCACCAAATCGGTTCCTGAAGTTGCCGCCGCTAGCGCTGATGGAGATCCTCTTGGAGCCCCCGAGGTTGTAGAGGCTCCGGCTGCCGAAGCCACCCGCTCCACAAGCACCCCCAAGGCTGACCCTGCCGAAGCCACCACCGCCACCCCCGGACCGGGACACAGAGGTGAAGCTGGTGCGGGAGACAGATGGGGTGATGGCAGAGGCGGCGCTGAAGGAGCGGCTGCCCCCACTCCGGAAGGACACACTTGACTGGCGAGACATGGTGGCTCGTTCCTGGTGGAGCAAGAGAACTGGCACTAGTGGGCTAGAAGGTACTGGAGAGAACAGAGCTCAGCAGGACGAAGAAGGTGGCTCTGTTACCCAGGAGCGTCAATGCCCCCTTTTTATCCCCTCCAGAACTGGGCTGGGCGGGAGAGCTGTCGAGTGGTGAGTGATTAAGTGGGCCGGGCATGCCTGGGGGGCAGCTGTGAGCTCACCAGGCACACCTGCACAGTGCAGGGTGCAAACTCTTTCTTCCTGGCAGGCTCTGCTCAGTTAGGAATAACCCTGCCTTGCAGCACTGGTCTCTTGGCAGCAAGTTGGCAAAGCTGTCTGCAAGTCTCTCTTCGCCGTTGGGGCTGGGGGAAGGGGGCTGGGAGCGGCCCAAGGAGGGTACCAGGAAGTGAGGGGCATGGGCCACAGCCACTGTCCTGGAGACCCTTACAGGGCCAGGGGTGACAGACACCCAGCACGGCACACATGGAACATCTGCCCTTCCACTTAGGGGAGCTGTCAGTGGGGGCAGAGCCATCCAGCACCTGGCAATGCTGTGCTCTTATACTTTTCTAGGCAGGTTGCTGCAGGGATCTCTCCTCTTGGGAAGGCACTCCACAGCCTGATACCTTGGGCATGTGCCAGAGGTAAAAACAGCTTTGTCCTTTTCTGCACACTCTCTTTCTATCCCAGAGCCCACTGGGCAGACTCCCCTGCAAGGTTCAGACCACATAGACTCCCCCAGACCTCAAGTTCCAGAAAGAGAGAATGTGGGAAGCCCTCCGCCCCTGCTTCCAAAGCTCCTCCTAACATAGCGTTGTCTGTGCCCTTTGACCTTTTCCTTGCTCTTCGGCCTGGGCAGGACCCTGCAGGAGCTTAGCAAACCCAGGGATCCCACATGGTCCCTGACAAAAAGCCCTGAGGCTCAGCAGGCAGTCACGTCTCTCTTGGGGGAGCTGCCTTAAAGGCTCCAGCCCCCCAGGTGCGTTACAGCCAGCTCTTGGTTCCTCCACGGGGAAGGAATGACTCACCGTATCTGTTGGTACAGGCTGGAGGCCGCCACAAACACATACCTGCAGGAGCTTCTAATCTCATCAGAAACATGTCGAGGGCGGCCGGCCTGTTATAACGGCAAACCAGCCTGCTCCACGCAGCGGGAATGGCTATGCTTTATCTGCGCCCCAGCCCGCCTCCTTCAGGGCCAAGGGAATGGAAAACGGGATTCTGAGACTATGGATTGTGCTGTCAGAAAGACTAGACAGAGCAGGTTTGCAGGCCCAGGCACAGAGTCTGGTAGCTGCTTTAGGGAGGACCCCGTGAGACCCCCTCTGCAAACTTGTCTGGGGGGTGGTGCTACCAGGTGGTGCTACCAGGGGAAAGGGGGTTCTGGTCAGGTGTCCTAAACCACACCCCCTCTCTTTGGCAGCAGGCCTGCATAGGGCCATCTCTCTGCCTCCCCCAAACAGAAGCAAGAGTCTTGAGGACGTAGCCCCAAGGCCCGAGGCCGTTAAGAACTGTGGGGGCCTCTGTGGGCTGGGGTTAGGCAGTGGAATGGGTTCAAAGCCTTGGGGCTGAGGGGCTACGTCCTCAAGAGTGAAAAAAATCAGGACCCAGCCCAGGCTCAGGAATCTCTAGTCAGGGCCTGTGGTTGGCCACAAGGAAGAAGGCTGTGGGAAAATGACTCCACGTTGCTGGGTCAGCGGAGGGCTGCCCAGAGGGCTGTGATGAGAAAGCGGCTGACAGGTAAGTCTGTCAGACAGACCGACAGCCAGAGCAGGCCTTACAGGTCCTGGGCAATGAGGCTTGGGCTGCCTGCCCACCTGGAGAATTTCTGAGACTCTCAGATGAATTTTGCTGAGTTCACCAATTTCTTACTTGGTTGCCTTTTGAAGAACACGTGAGTGTCTTGGAGGCCTGAGAATTATTGGGGGGCCCCTGAGCTCCTGATAGAACAGGTTCAAGCCTGAAGCAAGTGTGTGGGGACTCCGGCGAGTTCTCCCTCTCCACTGGAAGATCACTATCAGGGCATGTCCCCTCTGCCACACACACAGGTCCTGGGTGCAGCCCCCACTGCCCTCGGGGAAGCCCCTCCCTGGCCCAGACACTGGGACATTCTCTTCTGCCCAGTCACCCTCCTTCCAGCTGTGTTGTGAAGAGACAGGACTTGGCAGGACAGGAATGCATTCTGGCCAGTCTGAGAACAACTAGTGTGTGCCAAGCTCGCATCCAGATGCCAGGGACCAGAGGTGGGTGTGTGGCGAGTAACTGTAGCAGAGAGTGTTTGGGTGTCTCAGCAGGGAATAGTGGTGCTCCTCTGTCCGGGCTCTGTGGGAACCTTCCCCCAGGCTGGCAGGGCAAGCCCTCCTTCAATGGCAGATGTGGATGGGTGTAAATAATGGAGCTGCTCCCGGTGGGGCGCCAGCACCAGCACCACCGAAGAGTCCCACCCCGGCCTGGAATTCCACTGCGGCAGGAAGAGCGGGATTACAGTGCGCTTGCCAGTAAGCTTTGTGTCGGCCACCCCACCAAGGGAGTCACCGAGGCTTGGCAGGACTTGCCACTTGCTTCTGCTCCGGCGTTGCGTTCTGCTTCAGCAAGAGACAGTGAGGGCTAAGCGATCTCGCCAGCAGCCGCCCTGCTGCTGTCCCTGGCAGGGAAGGGGCAGTACGAGGACTGGCAGGCCCCCCCAGGTGTGGGGGAGGGGAACATGGGCAGTGCTTTGCAGACAGGGAAGCGCTTCGCAGGCACCAGGCAGGGAACACCTTTGGTTCAGGCAAATCTTGCTACTACCGCAGCCCAGGACTCTCCCCTCAGAGCCTCCACCCCAGTCCAGATATCTTCAATAGAAGATATACTTAATAGAGCATAATAAATCCAGTCCCCAAGGTTAGGAAACAGCTTTGCGTAGCCCACGCCCTCAGCCACCCTGAGCACTGCAGGTTCTCAGCTAACGTTCTTTTCACTGAACTGATGTGAAGTCACCTCCCTCCACTCCTCTCCCAGATCTTTAGGTGAATTCCCCATATTATATATACATATTATGCATAATAATATAACATAGATGCATATTATACATATTATGTACATAATATTAATGTCCATACTCTCATATATTTATGTGAATCCTCTAGCCACATGGTGAGTCCCAGAGTCCTGCCCATCTGCTTTTGTCCCTGGGTCCATGCCTACAGGACAAATCTCTCATCCACTCTGAACTGGGCACCCTCTGAGGACAGCGTTTGTGACTCTTTCTTCCTTAGACTGCTCCCCGGACTCCAAGCCTGGCAAGCATTCTGCATCTGAGCTCACTAGTAGCCCCCACGCCCTGCTCCAGTCCCCAGCCCCCTTCTCCAGGACAGAAAGAAAGTGACAGTGTTCCTGTCCCTGCAGCCCTTCTACCCCTTGCGTGGTCAGCACAAAAAGTGGGGAGCCATAGTTGAGGCTTGAGTCACCCTATCCACTGGGCTGAGGCTGGCAGCCCCATCGGGGAGCAGGGAGCCAGATTCGCAGGATGGGGCAGGGCGGATAGAGCAGTGTGCCAGCCCAGATAACTCTTCCCAAAGCCCTAGCCTCCGGGAGGAATTGAGAGAATTTTCCTGCCTCCACCCAAAGCCAGCAGGAAGCCTGCCGCCACCCCAAATCTGATCTCAGCTTGATTCTTGGGATCTCAGGGACACAGGAGACTGGCCCCTCTGTGGACCACGGAGCTGGACATGCTGCCACTCCCTCATGCAGCCTGGTCTGGCTGAGGCTGCCTTGCGATGCTGGGAACCCTGCCCAGTGTCTCTAGGACTTTCAGGCCCAAGTTTGCAAACAGGCCTGGGTAGACACGCAAATGTCCAGAGGTAAAGCAACCACTCAGCCTTGGCTCAAGCAGGCTTCACAGGCAGCTCCCTGCTGCCATTATTGGGATCATAGTGACAAGTGACCTCCTGGAGTTGAGTTTTCCGGTGCGAGGGCCTCACACAAATTGTGGGGCACAGCACATGTGCAAAAGCTCCTGGCCCCACTTTGGACTGTGTCTTTGTCCTTATCAAGCCCTTGAATGGTTCTGGGCCCAGGGACATGTGGCCCACCTCTCACTGCAGTGTCCCCCTTAGGAGCTGGGACAGAAGAGAGGGCCCTGGGCTCACTGGCAGGGAGGGGGCCATGCAAGCTGGAGCTTTAACTGAGAGCTGACTGGGGCTGAGCAGGAAGGGCAGGGCAGACCTGCAGGAGGCCGCAGGGAGCTGCCTTGGCCCCCGTCCCTCAGATTCAACAAGCGAGCGGCCCTCACGGGCCAGAGCACAGCTTCCCTCCAGCAGGCCCCTGCAAGTCTGGGAATGTGCTTTCCTTGTGTGAAGGCTGTTCTGCCAATGACATAGCAATGTCTTTGAAATCCCCCTCGCTTGATTGAAACTATGGGCTGGAAATCAACAAATACTTTAATTAGTCAGAGGGACTAAAAAAGGACATACAGCAGAAACCTCTGCACTTTGCTTTCTCATAGATAGTGGTTTTATATTTTAATAAACATTTGTATGGAACTTACCATGTGCCAGTCACTGCCCATCACATTTTATGTGTATAAATCTAACATCGGAACATGTAAAGAAAGGCTTTTACTATGTTCTCGGCGTTTGCTTTGGCGTCACACCTGGGCTCGTGCATCTGGGACTCTGAGAACTTGCAGCCTTTCTGTTCAGTACAGTGGCAGGGACACGACTCTTTGCCCAGGTCACACCTCGAAGGGTCAGAGGCACAGAAGGAAGCTTTTGTGCACTCCTAACCTGCCCCATGTTCCTTTTCTCCCTGCTCCTGTCTGTCCCCTCCCCAGCAGGCACAATTAGGAACAGGACAGAGAGGTAGACTGGTGCTGCCTTCTCCCAGAGTTTGGGTTTTGTGCACGGCTTCCTCATCCTGAGAGGGAAGGACCTGGCTTTCCCTTTTGCTTTAGTGAGCTCCTAACATGGGCGAGTCAGTACACCGTGGTGCTATGATGGTAGAGAAAAGAAAGTAAACGGTGACATGGAGACTGGAGATGTCGCCTCTCCCAGGGCCATCTTCAGGAAAGGTGCTTGGCATGCGGACAGTCTTCAGGGCACACAGCACCTCGAGGGCCCCAGTCCCACCCTGTGCACACACTTGCAGCTCCTGTGTTCATGTCCCACAAGCACAAGCCACCACTGACTTTGCTCACTGTCCACCTGGACCAATAAGCATTGTCGAGAGTTAGAGGAAACAGGGTAAGGCTTTTTCCAGCGGAGACACAATGTGAAAAGCAGCCGAGAAAAGAGAGCTGGCGTGAACACTTGTACCAGTCACCGAACCAGGACTTCATTCAACTCGTGTGTCTGAGCCGTTGCAGGTGCCACACACTGGGCGCTTCTGGACTTCGGTGTGTCCCTGTGTCCTTCCCA